CTATATAAGAGTTTAAGATCGGCATGTACTTGTGTTGATAGTAGAGCCTTCGCCGTTAGTGAATATTAGAATAACAGTAAGGAAAGACTTAGCAATGTACACAGACATACATTACCTCACATTGAGAGAAAATTTAATTTCATATTCATAACTCATACCGCCTCATATTTTGTAGAAAGAGGGTGGGTAGGTGAACGACGTTAAAGTGTTTTTGAAATTTAACATGTAGATTCCGCTATGCTAGACACAGCACAGTGGTTTCAAACCACCAATCACAATGATGTCCATCGCTGAAGCCTGATTTACAGACATCACCCTATATAAGAGTAAGATCATGATGTACAGTATTCGGCTTTTGTTGATAGCAGAGGTTTCGAGGGGTTTTTTTCAGTGACAGGACCAACTACCATTACCCCTTCTAAATCCACTCCTCATATATCTGTCTCTTATACACATCTAGATGTGTATAAGAGACAAATACAGGGGGAGTCTTTATGGCCCAAAATAGTGATTTTAGTAATGTAATTCGACAGGCAAATTACAGTAATATTTTTAGAAAATTTCTTTGAAAAAATTTCGTAGGCATAGGGCCTAGGCCTAGCTAGGTATACAGTAATTTCATTTTACATTATGTAGTTTGGAACGATATCAGGAGTGGCCTACTAGGTGGCAGTGGCCTACTAGGACTACAATTTATTTGAAGCTATCTTGGGTCCGATCGTCCACACCAGTTGGCCCAATCGTCTGTCACCAGAAGTTTTCATTATGATTATCAAGAACGTACACGATCTAGGCATAGGCCCTGGGCTAGGCTTAGCTTGCTGTCGTCACTCTGATACGTATACTACTACCGCATAACATTTTTTTTGCCGTAAAACCAAAATAGTTTCATCCATGCCGACTTTCCGGTCGGTTAGCGTGAGTCCTGACTGAACTCTGCAGAAACTTCACATCGATCTTCCCATCGCGATCTAAAACAAAATGTCGGAAAACTTTTCTTTGACGCATGCGCATTTGCATAAATGTCTACACACACTACACACAATAAAAAACGAAAGAAATGTGACTAAGAGTGATTACAATAGTTCCTATTGCATTACATGCATAGGAACTAAAAAGTACCGTACTACCACAAAATAGGGGGCGCCCTATTCGAATTCGAATAGAGTTAAAAACTCGAACATGCACGCCACGCAGCACGCGTTTTGTTACGGCCACGCCCCTTTTGGGTAGTAGTTTTTGAAATAGGATTGCCTTCCAAAGAATATCCGGCAGTGCGGCAGTGGGACCTCTTGAGGTTTTATGCTGCGTTCATTAGAACTTGTGAAGTCGGTGTTCGCAACTTGTAACATGTGAGAATACGAGAAGAGTGCATTCATTTGATAAACGCTAAAATGGCTGCTGCCACATTTGCAATGTGTTCGAAAATAAAACATACAAAACAACTTTTTTTTTAAAATCTGAAATAATATTACTTAAACAAAAAAATTCAATAAATATGTTGGGTTGCAAATAAAACATACAAACAAAACTCTTTTTTCATCTGAAATAATATTACTTAATAAACAAATTGCAATAAATACCTATGCTCGTTGTGCATAGTTTATGTTACATCCGCCATTTTCCACACTACTTGTGCAAATCGAGAAAGAGATTCTACTCGAGTTCACAACTTGTGTTTATCAGTTCACCAACGAGATGAACGCGTTTCACAAGTTGTGAACTGGGAAACACCGACTTCACAAGTTCTAATGAACACAGCATAATACTCTTTGGTAGAAGTTTTTTAAATCAAGCCGTAAGAGGCGCCCCATTGTTTGTATTCCCACCTTGCATTTCGGTGGAACATTTTTTTTTCTGTAGCATGGAGAACTTATAGAGCTATTAAACAATTAGAGTGCTAACAAGATGGCGCAGCAATGCAGAGTTGTGTATGTGTACCATCCAAGATGGCCGTCGTAGTAAAGCGCCACCTTCAGGCTTAGTATACATATTATTACATATTAATAAGCCCTCTGACTGACTATTATTTCATTAATGACAATGAGTAATGATAATAACAAATTATCAAGTTATTGTAGCCAAAACGAGGCCAAGTGGAGCATCTTATTCAAAAATAAAGTACCAAGGAATGAAAATTAAAATCGTGTACATTACACCCAAACACCGCAACGCTCGAGTTTCAAACATACGGATAACTAGCTGTACCGAACTTTCTGAGTAAATTGAGGGCGCAATTGCAAACGATAGTGCTGAGCGAATTTTGATTGGCTAAATCTGTGGCAGCCATCTTGGATGGTACACACACACAGTTCTGCGTAATTCGAACATCGAATACATTGCAGTTAGCGCTCTAGTATTCTATAATACCTCTATGGGAGAACTCTATCTTAGGCTATGTTCAGACACAACGACTTACGCTAGCGTAACGTTAATCGAGTGGTGTGAACTTGTGCGCGGCGTAGCGAACGCCAGTATTATCGCGCAATCACTGGCGTACGGTAATCCAGCAACAGA